TATGAAAGAACACTCTCCTTTGCTCTCCAAACTTGCCTGTGGTTCACCATAGCTTGCTTGTCCCAAATTGCAATTCCTCTCCTATTTATGAATAAGCTCAATTTTGCTGGCTGAACTGATTATCTTTTATTTTTTTTCCAAAAAGGTTGACACCACTAATCGCTAATATACTTTACTAAATTACCAGATCATACCCTCCAATAGCACAACTGCTCGACCTGCTATCTTGACCCAAGAAATGCACCAAGATATTATTATCAGACTAATACTTTTAACACACTTTACAACTCTCCCAAAATATTATTACAGAATCCCTCCCCCCAAAAATTCCACATCTGTGATCTTGGCTAATGCCATATAAATGGGAAACTTAATTATGAGCCGGCCTCAAGGACTCCTTATACCTTCAAAAATGCTTTCTATGCTGTTTAAGGTAACTTATGCCCTATTCTCTAAATGTCTCCATTGTCTCTGTTATCACCCCAAGTTTCCTTAATAGGATGGCAAAACATCGGAAGACTAATTGTATTAATCATGTTTTTAAAAAATATTTTTATGATATTTTGACTTCTTGGGGGCCTCCCTGACAGGGGAGAGATGGCCCCTCCTGGGGTAGCCAATACTTAAGAGACAGCAAAGGGCTCACTAGGGAGCACGACTTTCATACAAAAACCAACAATCCAGCGCTCACACTCTGAGCCACCTCCTCTGACGGCTCTTACCCTCCAAGAGGCAATATTCCTCTGCCCGAATCACCCAGGGCCGGTACCAGACAACTAGAGACCACCCTGCAGCCCACAGCCCACCGACATTATACAAACTAGCCATGCCGTTTCCCCTTTCCCGCCAAAATACAATGCCCCATGCCTTCCCTTCACTGCTGTCTCTGCCTCCGGACGCTGGGTGCGTCCCCAAGTAGCCCCGAGTGCCATGCCTCTCATTTCTAACAGAACTGTGAATAACAGTAAACTCTTCTTTCAACGGCATGGACCTCTCTGTATTGTTACTCAGTCACCGTTACAAATTAAGACCCAGGCACAAATCAGAGATACGGTTCCCAACGTGGCCAAGTACAATGGTGGCACTTTAATTTCTTCTTTATTTTACGCTGCTGAAATATCCTAGTATTTCAATATGCACTACTAGAATATACACCTAAGATCCACTACTAAAAGCTACTTTATAGGATCCAGCAGATGTTGGTAATTTTTTTAGCAGTGGGTAAGTGATAGGTGAAGTTAATGTGAGCACCTGTAAGGGTGAAAAGACCTTCTAGGAGACTGAAGTCAATGGCTTAGACTTAAGCATCTAGGCCTAGTAGAGAGGAGGTGATACTTGGCAACATTCAGGGTTCAATTCCTCCTCTGTGTGGCTGGCACATATACCCCCCTACCCATTCAAATCTAGCTTCCTTGGGCGTTAGGTTTTGGTGAACCACAGAATCAGAACAGGGCCTTTTAGTAGGGATGGTGCTAAAGACAAAGAGCTTCTTTCTGCAAGTTGCCACTGCTACCCATGTTAAAATGGGAGATAGGGACCTCCCTACTTGACTCCATGGGCATATTTCTGAAAAATAAAACCTCGTGCTTTACACAGAAAGAAACCACCCACATTTATTTTCCTCCTAATGAGCTACTTGCTTCCTCATATCTTTGATATTTCTTTTTTTTAATTATTTGAAAGACAGCATCGAAATTTTAAACAGTAATTTAAGTGGCGGGGGAAAAACATAAAAAAGAAAGGAAGGAGAAGAAACCGATGAATCCTTTTTAAAAGCAGCTTTTACAGATCCTGATGACTACATGGCTAGGTAAGACCATGAAATATTTTGATAGTATCAACTGCCAATTTTCAAATAATTTTATGACAAAATGATAATATGGGTCACAGCAATTTTACCATCTATAAATTTGCTCCTTGATGATTCGGAAGTCCCGTGGTAAGACCTGACGTATGTTAAGAGTTGAGATATAAATTATTAAACATTCGGGGTTTCTTGGTTTGGGTGGGAGGAGCAGTTTGAGAAAAGACATTTTTTGGTTATAAAAATGAGATCACACTCCAAAATGTGGCACGTGAACTGGTTAGAACTTATGGTGGTTGCATGGATAAACCTAATAATTTTTAAATGTTTTAATCTGGAACTTTCAAAAATATCCTTTCAATACAGAAGACAGGGACACACAGGGAACAAGATACCCCCCCCCCCC